AACGAAAGCTTTCTGGAAATACTCTCCAAGACGAACACGAACGTGAACGCGCGACAGGTTCCCAGGCAAAGGCCACCGCAGCTGTCGTTTCGCGCTCAAAGTAAGCTTCCAGCTCTCGGTTTTATGCGTCCATTCGCGCGCTAACTTCATTCGTTTACATGGCACCAGGAAAGACGTATGCCAAGCTACATAATCTTCCGAGGCAGATACTTAAAAACGATATCGTGAATTACTTCTCGGAGCTGAATTTGCAAAAGGACAGCGTTCACATGACTTATGATGAAAAGTTTTATCCCCTCTACGCGTGAGTATCACTTCCTTTCAGTCGTTTCGCTTTTGACAGATTGTTTCCATAGCCATATTGCCTTCGATTCGACGGAAGCTTTAAAGAATGCTGTCAAGATCCTGCAGACCAAAGGCCGTTTGGGCGGACGGATTGTCAAGATGGAATCGGTAATATCATGCTTGCTGGAGCTAATTTGCTTCTTTGTTTTCGTGATGTAGTTTGTCCAGTTCATGCCACCTACACATCCACAGATGACCGAGCACTTGAACAAGTATCTCGGTCGAATGGTATGTCGACCATTGCTCATCCCTTGGCTTGCTAATCATCTTTTTCTCTTGGCAGCTGCTAATGCTCCACATCCCGCCTGAAGGGAGGATCGAAGACTTGGAGCGCTTCTTCGATGGATACGGCTTTGATCCATCTGCACTGTCCATGCTAGATGCGTAAGCTCTCGTTTCTTCACCTTCCAAACCTTATTGTTTCGCTTGCTTTCAGAGTACAAATGACGCTTGCAAGGTTTCCGAAGGAGGGCAACAGGATGGTTCGCCGGGCAGCCATTGGTTTCTGCTCGAGCTTGGAAGCAATGAGAGCTCTCCGAGAGAAACAGGGAGACTTTGTCCTGAATGAGCCCATCGAGTTGAGGTTGATCCAGTAAACGTACGAACTGGCTTCTCTTTCAGTCACCACTTCCAAAAAGAAACAACTGGTTTTCTCAAAGAAGGCCCTCACGGGAGAGTGGAAATAAAGAAGAAAGAACCTGCTTGGTGGCTGTGTGCTCCGCTTACTTAATCTCTCCTGAGTAATCTCTCATCCGGAAATCTCCGTAGAGAAGTTTATTGTGTTGCTAGTTATATAGAATGAATATAATGACAATATATAAAACCTTTTAGGTACTTAGTTGAATTAAGCTCGAAGAAAGAAGTCCAAACATTCGAAACAAAAACAAAGGACCAAAAAAAACTCTCTTATTTTCGTCCAAAATCTATCACCACCTTCTCGACGAGTAGCCGCTGCTTTGCTGCTGCTGGGGCTGCTGCTGCTGCTGCTGCTGCGGTGGATTCCTCCTCGACGGTGGCTGATACTTACCAGGCTTTGGAGGCTCAGTCGTAGTCGGGGCCGGGGCTGGCGCTGGCAAATCTCTCCGCTCGGGCTCTCTCGGGTAGTCTCTCCCCGGATTTCTCTCGGGCCCCGGATAATCTCTCCTCTCGTGGTCTCGGCTCCGCTCGTAGTCCCGGCTCCTCTCGTCCCGGAGATCTCTAGGTGGCGGCGGCTCCTTCTCCCTCCTGTCGTCGAAGCGCGACGAACGTGACGAGTCCAGGGCGCCGCCTCTGAATGGCTGAGACGAGCGCGGGAGCCCGAAAGACGATGAAGACGGTGGCGGCGCCCCTCCCTCTCTCCTTGTTGGGGTGAAGAGGCTCGACTTCTCGGTCAGGGCCTCGCGTTCCTTGCGGGCTTTCTCCTCCGCCTCCGCTTCTCGCTGCCGTTGCTTGGCGGCCATCTCGTCGAGTTTGGCCTTCCTCTCGGCCTCTTCCACCTTACGCCTTTCCTCCTCTGCAAGACAAGTTGTTAGATTCTTTCTTGCAACGAAGTAAACCACATACCTTGTCTCCTGCGAGCCTCCTCCTCTTCTCTCAGTCTCATGAGGCGCGCCTCCTCTTGGATCCGATAGTACTCCATCTTCCTTCGTCGCTCTCTCTCTTGCCTCCGCAGGGATCTCTCCTCTGCAATCCTTTCCTCTCGAATTCTCATCTGGCGTTCAAATTCACCTCTGCGGCGGCTCGAAACCTCGTTTTGAACATCCTCCTGCAAAAAGCATTAAGTACAGCCGAACACAAAAATGCAGGCTCATTCACCTTATCTTGTTGCATTCTTAGCAGTCTTTCCTTCTCACGGAGGTCTTCGGAGTGTTGCAGCCTACTCTGCTCAACGGCCAGCTGCAAACACCACAGATTGATTTAGTTAAAGATCACAAATAAGCCCAGTACCTTCTGTTGCTCCTCGAAATAAATTCGATCATCTTCTTGGCGCTTCAAGTACATAGCTTGAATCAGAGGGCGCTCTTCTTCACGCTTTGCTCTTTCGTAATGATCCACTGTCTTCGCAAGTTTTTGGAGCCTACGGTCTAGCTCCTCGCGCTCCTTCTTTTGATCCAAGAGCACTTGCTGCATTATGGCCTCTTTCGTTTTCGGCTTATCCTGAGAAAAGCCACATCAATAACATATGGTAAGAAGTTCAGCCTCATCCTTACCAGGTCAGTCGGTTTCTTTTTGAGCCTTCCCTTCTGCTTGTCCAACAGAAGTTTCGCATCTTCAATCTCCTTCTCCTCAATTTCCCTCTTTACTCTTTCCTCCACCCTTTGCTCGGATTCCCGCTGCAACCTTAATCTTTCCTGGTCCTCGAGACTCTTTTGCTTCTGCTGCCTTCTGATTTCCTCCTCGCGTTCCTGAAATAACGCATAAGAATACTTCGAATGCCAAAAAACCACGCTTACCGCTTCTAAAATTTGTTTCTCCTGGTCCTCCTTTCTCTTCTCAATGATCACTTTACGGGCCAAAAGTCGCTTATGGTCCTTTTCCACAATGGAAAGAAGCTCAGAGAAACGTTGTTCGGGTCTTTTAGTAGGTTGTTGCATGAGACCTATGGCCTTGTTAAGTCGCTTCGCCAAAATTGTAAGATGGTTTTTGATCTTGTCAGACTCTAGATCCTGTGTAAGTGTAAAGCCATGTTGGACACGGAAATCAAAGGATGTAAACATACCTGACTGCCAAAATGAACGACACCCTTCCCGTGATCAATTTTCATCTGAACGAAATTGTACTTTGCAGCATCTACAGCAAGCTTCTCAACCACAGTAAAGCTGTAGAAAGGTATCATGTTGCTGAGGTTTGTGATTCGCATCGTCTGATAAACTTGGGACACCTGGACAAGCAGTATGAAATTGTTCACAAACTTGATTACGACAATACCTGCTGCAAAACTCTCAACGTAGTAAGGTTCTGCAATGCTGGAATAAACTCCTCAAGAAGAACTTCGGGAACTGGAGAAGCTGCTGAAAGCTTATCTCCAAGCTTAGGTAACTTCGTGAGAAGAGGTTGCACTTTCGTGGCAAGATCCAGAGGGTGGAACTCGTTTTCTAACAAACAGTACAAGTCCTTCACCTCAGGCAGGACGTACGTCAACACTCCTTTGGATATCTGCTTAAAGAGACCGTTGGCAAGTGTGACGTAAATTCAGCTGATAACTTACCAGATCAGAGAGCAAAGCAGAGCGGGATAGCTGCATCAAGTACGGTTAGTTTCGACACGAAGCACATAAACGAGCTTACCGCTTCGCGGTTGTCACGTTTAGGATCCAACGAGAACCCGAGAAGGTTAGCCATTCTCACGTTCCTGTCCTTCTCAATCTCGAGCTCGAAATGATGAGCTCCATGCTTTCTATCGTACGGTTGAACCGAAATCGTCGAGAGCAGGACGGATGAAGCCATCAGTTGCAGATCCTTCGGAGTGAGGTTCTTGTTGTAACTCTTTTGAAGATTATAGAGCTTATACCAAGCATAACCATGGTACAGATGGCTTTGAGAAACCCAGAAGATCTTTATCAATTTAGCATAGTAGATAGCCATCATCTGAGGTTTCGGAGATTTTTTAACCATCGACATTAGCCCATGAATGTCCTCTATCGTTCGAAAGGCTTCCTGCATTCAAGCAGTCAGAAACTTGAACATTCGCTCTTCCGAAATTGAAGAAAATACTAACCTGCCAAAGCTCGAGCTCCGTTGCAACTTTCAGCTGTTCTAGACGAGTATCGAGATAAAGCTGCAAACTCTCCGGAAGCGTCAAATCCGGCCTGTCTCTCTGGTCTCTGTACTTGTTGAGATTAGCCAGGTGATTCCTCAAGATCTCACAAAGGCGGCGAAACTCAGTAGTCCGCTTGTATTGCAAGCAGAACTGGAACGCACGGTGAGCAGTCATCTGCCAGACAATAACAGACCACCGGAAATCAGAACGAATGCAAAAGAACAGGCATACTTACGGCGTACAAGTTCTCCAGCTTCGAATTGTTGCGAAGGATCTCCAGCACTGTCCTGTAAGTCTCCCACAAGAACTTAAACCACGGCGTGACGAGCTCTCTGTCGGATCTCTCCTTCCCCTTCTCACCGCTCACGTAGCTGAGCATCAGATCCTCCGGAGTCTTCTCAGCCTCGAGGTCCTCCACATCGAAAGTTACCACGGCAGCCTCCGCTTGGGCCTGGGCTTGCTCCGCCCGCTCGCTGGAAAGGTGCATAAAGTGCTTGATCACCTCTTCCAGAGAGCTCACGTTCACTTGCTGGCAAGCTATGCGGTACTGGATGAGACCATCCTTTGCAAATCGGCCGCGTCTCATGTCCACGCACAGCTCCACGTACTTGAACATAATCTTCTCCAGCGGCTTCTGCCACGCCCGATACCGCTTGGAGGTGATGAGATCGTGGAGAGCCTGGAGCGCAGCCGCCTTTTGCCCCACATTCATCAATTCTGGAGCAGCGATTGTCAATCCCCGAGCTGCGACACGAAATTTCACGAGAAGGACAGAGATTACCTTCCGCTCGCTTGAGAGCATTCTCTGGCTTGGCGAAGGTCGCCATGGCGCCACGCCCCCGCTACGAAGAACACACCAGCAGCCTTACTAGGGCTCAAAACCCTTAGGGCAGGCGGGGTAATCCTACGGCTTAAAATTACTCCAATCTCAACCGACCGATAGAATTATTCACGAATCGACGGTCGCGATCGGGCTCTACAGATGACTTGTTTGCAAGCCAGTTCCTCGTCGACGAGCCAAAGGCCCGCCGCTTCTAAAGCTTGCTTCGTCCCATTTTTCTCCCGAGAACTCTCCGGACGAAGCAAAATTCGAGCTCCTGCCGGCGCTGTCCAGTTCTTCGAGACCAAAGTCTCGGCTGGAGCTCCAATTTTGACGCTCCCGGCACCGCTCCACAGAGCCATCCCCAGCGAGAACTTTTTCTCGCGAAGTAACTCCTCTAGCGTCTTCATGAAGAGCTTCGTCTTGTCGCAGCTCCTCGCGAAGAACAAGCCACTGTGGAAGCTCTTCCCGACTAGAACTGCCAGGATCTCCTCGTCCACGCTCGTGTTGCTGCTTGACAGAGGATGACTGGGCCAAGTAACGTCGGGTCTCGCAAACCAGACGCTGTATCCCATCGCTATAATCTGCTGCATCGCTCGGATCGAATAGATTGTACCGTGATCATCTTCTTTCTCTTCGTCTCCTCCCGGTGTTTCGTCAGTCAGCAACACAGGATGGCCTCGTCTCGCAAGCTCACTCGAAGTGTTGTAGTCTCGTCCCAGCAGGAGATAATTCTTCGTCCTCAAAACAGCCATTTGACACAGCCAGTTCCTGACCAGTCCGTCGTCCACACCAACGCTGTTAACCAGGATAACTTCATTCTCCGAGTGAATATCTGAGAGTAGCGCTTCCAGGTGTTTGAAGCCATTGAGAAGCCTGTTCCGGAAAACCTGGTGGAAGCAGTAGTCGTACCATTTGAGCGTTGATAATGCCGGTATTTCCCACATGTCGATATCAGGAGTCCCGTGTCTCTTGATCAGTTTGGAGTCCGGTCCAGCATCCTTGTGATAATTGACACCTCGAGTCCGGTGGGAAACGCTTAACGCTCTTCCTCTGAGAAAGTTTGTGTAAACGTTGAAATAGCCATGAGAGTGGACGAACTTCAGAAACCAGGGCGTCCATATGTTGTTGCCGAGTTTCTTGTACCAGTCTGTCGTAACCATCCCGTCTATAATTGGCTCGATCTCTTTGGTTTTGTGTTCGTCAAACCACTGCCGAAATTCCCTCCAGGGTTTTGGAAAGAGGATCTGTCCCCATGTTCCAACAAGCTGGTAAAGAAACAAACGGGTGCTGTTGTCCAGCGCAATACGATTTCCTCCTTTACCTGCATCTTAAGTTTAGCAACCAGATCAAGGTGACAATAAACGGACTTACCTGGAACAAACCTCGGCCTCTGAAGTGTAATGCCGAAAATGGAAGGATCAAAATTTGCGGGATCGTAGTAATACTTAGCAATGACGCTGCGCACGTATCGGTAGTACAACGGAGACAACTGCATGTCGTCCTCGACGACAAGAGCAAACTGGTGATCGGATGAAGGCCACCACGCTTCCAGCCACTGAACTTGAAGACCAACGTTTTGCGTTCGATAGTGCACCTGCTTAGAACCGTGCGGCCACTTGAACCTGTCCAGAAAATTCAACAACTGCCGAGCCTGCTGTAAATTCCTTTCCACGGGATCGCTGCTTAGCTCTATCTCTTCTGGCTCGATCTCAGCTTCATCTTGCATGTTGATCACCCCGACCTCAGTGCTATTAACGCTTGCTGGACCATAGTCCTCGATGTTGTCAGCTTGAGACAACAATCTTCGGCTAGACGCGTTTGCTGCTGCTGCTGCTGCTACAGGCTTGAAGTGGTCGAGATGCACAACAAGATTGACTGTGTCACTGCCGTAGTCTGCAATGGCCAGAGACCTCAAACATCTTCGTAGCGAGTCATATCTGTCGTACGCGAGAACCTGGATGACAAACTCAAACTTCTTGCTCACAACATTCCTGTCCTCCTCTTCTTGACTCGGTGGTGTGAAGCTAAGCCAGTCGAGAACCGCCGTAACCGGGAGGCTTCTTCGAAGAACGGGTCTTCCAGCCCCATGGAAAGTGAGACTAGCGAAGGTGCCGATGGAGATGAGTCCAAGGAGTAGGATGCAGGTCTTCCGCTGGCACAGCTGAAGGACCTGCTGAAGAGACCAGTGCTTCCGCCTGCCTCTCATCTCTCACCACCGGGAGAACCGAGCTCACTATTAATCCTACATTCCTTCTACTCTAGCTAGCGTACCTGTCAACACCCAATGTTCCATTCGCGCTCAAAAACTTTGCTGGAGCCCTAGTGCCCTGAGATCTGTTTGCTTTAGCACGCTCGCCACGTGGAAAGTGTCCTGTTTTTAATTTTTCCCCTTCTATCAAGAGCGCGTTAGTCGACCAAAATTATCTCTGTTCCACTTTCCTGATTTTTGGTGTGAGCCACAGTTGTAGGTGAAGCATGCCCCTTCTTCGTAGACGCAGCTGGAGAGCAAATCCTGTGCTTCTGACCACGCCTTGTCAAAACAGCCTGTTCCTGATGCCAGAACGTTGCGTTGTCGAGCTAGCCGGCCCCTCTTTGACACAGGTGTCCACAGCTCCCAAGTTCCAGCGGCATGTTCGTTGACAAGATATGAGTGACCCGGTTGTTGGAAAGATAGAATGATCCTCAGAAAAAGGATGATCGCGTGGATCACGGCTCCAAGAACTGCAATGGAAGCCAGGTGCCAGGACTTGAGAACCTGATAGCCGAAGAGCATGCAGCATGCGCAGCTTAGTTCTTCTTCGTCTTCTTGTTCTTCTTCTGAAGAAACAAGCAATGAATCCCGTAAAGGTAAGGTGAGATTTTCACCTGTACCAACAAAACGCATTGCTGTAGCCATTCAAGTACTTCAAACGAGAAAATTACCAGAATCGCATGAGTTTGGGCATGTTGGCTCGTCCCTTGGAAGACAGAGATCCAGTCGTTGGAAATGTGATTGCAAAGCAACTACTGGTAAAAGCCTTCCGGGACTCTCGTGTTCGTCCACTGACAAAGAACAAGAAACTGAAAACTGAAAACTCGAAGTGCCAAGGCGATCAAGCAAACCTGTCTGGGACGAACATTTTTCTGGAGCTGGTCCCGTAAGAACAGCATCCGCATGGTAACCCCCAGAATCTAAGGTAACAGTGAAGATGTGAGGGAATAAAAAGAAGAAACACTATACGTGAAGCACCTACCATCTACGACGAATACCCGCCACCATAAAATCGGAGCTTGTTGATCGGTCGAGACATCTATCTCAACAATTCCCGGAGACCCAAGAAAGGGCTCCAATGGAACCTTGAGAACATAGAAATTGCTCGCCAATAAGCTCCTCCACACCTAGTATTATAGAAACGATGAAAAGAACCTATCGACGTAGAAAGAAAAACTACCTGATCACGAATGGACACCGAGATCTGTAGCGGGCACAAATCACTGCTGAAATTCTCGAGCTTGATGTCTACATGCCTGTTAATCAAGATCACAAGCTGATTCACGGGAGAAGAAGCGCCGAGCGTACCCGAAGACGGCGAATCCGGCTCGAGCTCCCGATGCCACGGCGCCATCGAGCCCCGTGAATGCGACGAAGAGGAGGACGAAATAACCTAAGGCGGACATTCCCGCCATAGCTTGCCCTTCGAAATGAAGGGCAATCGGACGGCTATAATGCTCCCATTCAACGATAGATTCGTTTCTTCATCTTGTTGGGGCTTGCGCGAAGGCGACGACGACCATGGCGCCTGCCAGACCAGGGTAAGCTCTCGCGATTCTACTGCTAGATCTTGCTCGATCGTTCTAGATAGTCTCTTCTTGCGGAGTTGCCCTAAGATTCTTGGAAATCCAGGAAACCCGTGAGAAGAAATATCGAGACTAACCTCATTGAGATGGATTTGGACGATGACGATGAGGAAGATCCCAACATTGGCGAAGACATGCTTCTAAGTCCAGTGAGTGCTCGCCGGAGAAATTTTCTTTTAGCTCTTTGTTTGAAGTTGCTCTACACAGGAGGAGATCAAGATCTTAGGCGATAGAGGATTTGACACCGTTGTAGAACGGCTTAAAGTGCAACTCAGTAAGGTTTGCTTTTGCGCTTGCCAAAGCACTTGGCAACTTTTCTTTGCTCCTTTCGTTTTTGCTTTCTTCTTTCTTCCGATAACTTAAATTTTGTCGTTGATTTTTTGCAGCTGCCAAAACTTCGAGAATCGAGCACTTGAAAGACGTGATCGCGCAGCTCGAGAGTGATGTTGAAAAGGCCAGGAAGCTCATTCCCAAACAAGACATATCAAAGAGCGTGCTGCTAGACAAGGAGCGTTCGCGGTGGCGTATACGGAAACTGCAAGGCGAGGTCACTACACTGAGCTCGCAAGTCCGCTACTTCAAGGGTGAGAATGAGAAGCAGCAAGCGGAGGAACACGGCAACGAACAGCGGGTATGAAAACTTTTTCCTCGCTCACAAACTTTGGCGAAGCTAAAACAAATCAAGATAAATGTTATGTGCAGATCGAACACCTGCAGGAGGAGCTCGATAAAGAACGAGATCGCGTCCAGAAGATGTCCATCGAGCTCGCAGCTTGTAGAAGAAGGGAGGCGGAGCACAGGAACCTCTTAGTGGAGGTGAAAACGTTGCGAGCCGAGAAGAACAGGCAAGAACACGAGCGCCGGAGCACCGCTTACATTCTCAAAGTCAACAAGATGCAACGGGCAGAACACATGAGGCTCTTCCGACGAGAAGTGCCAGGCCTCAACGATCTCAGCGATACTTTTCCATATGGAAAGCGTGTTCGTCGAAAGGTGACACTGGCGAGACCGAGCTCCGCGGCGTCGGAAAAGAGAAAGATTTCGATCGCAAGAACAGTCGATGGTTAGTGTTCTCGAGAGTCTTCCACGGCACTTGCTTATCCACAGCTCTTGCAGGCTCTTCCATTGAATCTTTACGAGAACAGCAGGAGAAACAAGCAAGACCCGAGGTATAGCAATTTTTTTGTCGCTCTCTTCGCGTGAAAATTAACGTGAAAATCAACTGCAGTTGCCATGCCCGTTGCTTCTCCCGAGACAAATCGACAGCATGTCTGCCTCAAAGAAATCCCATGCAACGCGACCTCTTGCGTTGCTCATTCCGAAATGCGGCATAGAAATCAAGCAGGTGCCTGTGTTGATCACAAGGAGGAGGAGCTCAGTGAAATTCTCCCGAGAGGAAAATCCAAAGCTCACAGTGCTTCTCCCGGGAAAAGTCGCGAAACAGCTTGGACAGCCAGAGCTTGTATCCTACGACACGGTCTTCAACCGGCAAGCAGGGAACAGGGATCAGACCATTAAGCTGCTCCTTCCAAGGCAATCAAAACAGAGCCAGTTCCAGGAAGAACAGAACGAAGAGCTTAGGCCCGACGTCCAACCGTGTGATCAACCGACGCGAGCTCTGATTGAGAAGTACGAGAGGGACGAACTGGAGACGAAACAGGAGATGAAGCAGCTGCGAATGAACCTCGGAATGAAAATGCAGACGATAAAAAACATGAGCACTCAGCTGGCCAAGAGGGACGAGGAAATCAAGGCATTACAGGCACTAGCAGGCTCGCCGCTTCCAAGGCCAAGCACTCCCGATCCAAACGACGAAAGCGACGAAGAAGAGCGGGACTACAATCAGCACTACATAAAGCAGCTGCAAATGGACTCGTCCCTCAAAGCCCAGGTTGTCAAAAACTTGACCCTCCAACTCCAGAGGAGGGACGAAGAACTCAAGCAGTTCCAGAGCTCTGAAGGCGTGTCAATGCCGAGAGCGTTCAGAGACTCGTCCCAAAGCAACAACGCCCAGCAAGTGATAAAACAACTCCAAGTGGAGCTGGGGATCAAACTGGACGCGATAAGAAACTTGAACGACCAACTCGACAAGAGGGACCACGAGATCAGCCTCCTCCACAGGCAGCTCGAAGTAACAAACGAGAAGAAAAAGACATGGAATGTCTGGGAGAACAGATGTTACGAGGAACCAGTGAAACAGACTCCAGCAAGCGCAAACTCGCTTGACCTTCGGAAAAGGATTGTAGAGCTCGAGATGGACTTGAGAGCCGCCAGAACCGAAGCCGACAAGCTCAGAGCCACCGCTGATCCAGAGTTTCTTGAAGAAATCGAGCGCGTCAGGACGGAAAACCAAGAACTTAATCAGGTACCTGGTTTTTGGCTCGACTTCTTTAGCTGATGCTTGCTTTTATCGATGGATTGCTTCCCAGTTGTGTGAGCGCTATGAGAAGATGCTGCATTCTTACTGTGGCCAACTCGGCGTCCCGTTCAAACCTCTCAGGAGCGAAGGACTGAGGTGAGCTCACGCTCCCTTATCTTAGTATAGCAAACATATTGTTTTGAGAATCCATCCTAGCTGACTTTGAGAGAGCTTACTGTGTCACCTCCACGCCACTCTCTGGAGACATATCCCTCCCTGTTTCGTCATCGTCCTCGTCCTCGTCCTCGTACTCCTCTGCTCTTCTAACAAACTGTCCCTTGACCCGGGGCCTCTGCTCAGCCAAACGCTTGCGACTTGCATATCTGATCTTCTTCTCGTAGCACCTGTCCTTCCGCTTTTGCCTGAACTTGTGTAGCGCTGCCTCTCTCCGCTCCGCTACGCCAGCTTTTCTCTCGGGTCCAACTTGAGGCAACGCTGCGGCGTTCCAAGGGACCTGTTGCGATGGTATGTGCAGAGGAAAAGGATAGTACGAGAACGCTGCTGCCGGGATGGGAGTAGCCTCTGGCGGCGGCACAGCTTGATAGTAGTGTATCGGTGGCTGTAGCAGCGTCGAGGGGTGGATCGAGTGCGGCACCATGAGCGGCGGGATGATGTGAGCCTGGTTGAAGACGCCGGTAGCAGCGTGAGCAGCAGCGGCAGCAGCAGCACGGGGGTCGTTTATCTGTAACACCTGGTATTGTTCCGCTGCTCCAGTCGTGGAGGAGCTACTCCATGGTATTGAATGCTGGTGGTGGTGGTGGTGGTGGTGGTGGCTTTGCTCTGGATCATCATCGGGTTCCTGCGTTTGAGTTAACTCAGCCGCTTGGTTTCCTCTTGCTCCGACCTGGCCTGGTTCTTCTAAGTCTAGAGGCTGCTGCGATGTTCCTACAGGCACTTCCATGCACGTAGGGGGCTGTGTCGTCGAATCGGGTTTTTCAGCGTTCGTTGTCCTGCTGACGAGCCTTGTGTAGCTCAAGAATGCGGAAGATTGGCCCAGTTTCAGTTCGCTCTTCCTTAGAGGAGACGGTCTTCTTTCTGGAAGAGAAAAGCTATAAGGCTTTTTGAAAGAAAGATGGTAGCCACACTTGCAAACTCACCTGGTTCACCAATCTCTGTTGTTCTTGTGGAATCTTTGGACTTCGGCGTCAGTGACAATTCTAGCTCGGGTGCCTGCCATACTTCGAACGTTAAGCTTTTTCCCAGAAGAAATAGTCAGAAAACAACTAACCTGTTCTTCGTCTTCGGAGATTGGTTTAAGCTTCTTGACTTTGTTGTCGTTGCTATCCTCCGAAAAGATGTCAGTGCTGAAAGTGTTCGACTCACTCGTATCCGAGACAAAAATCTCGGCTATGGTGTTTCTGCTCGACAAGTGTCCCTTGAGTATGTGTTTTTCTGTGAGTCCTAGCTGCGAAAAGAGAGAAGAAAACAAAACATGCTTCTTTCTAAGACCAAAAAAACTACCATTCGTCTTCTTCGCCACATATGAGTCCACAGATTGAGCAACTCATTTATGCGCAAAGGCTTCACCAGATAGTCGGCCGCCCCAAGTTTCAAGCACTTGACAACCACGGCCATCTCATCACGCGCAGACATCACTGCAAAGAAAAACTCGCTCCATCAAAAACAACTCCAAGGAAGAAAGATCGTTTCATCTAAGCACAAAAGAAGATTTACTTACTGACGATTGGAATGTGCTTGAAATTCTCCGACTTCACAATATGTTTGAGCATCTTAAATCCTCTACCATTTGGCAGCTCCACCTCGGAGAGCACCAAATCCACCTTAGAATCAGTGATATTTAGCACCTCCACAACTTGTCTAGCAGTCTTTACAACGGAAACTACAAAAGGTAAAACAATTGCCAAACGTTACTAGATAGATCAAACTTTCGCACAGATCACTACATACCTTGATATGAACAGCGGCACAGCAGCTCTTTCACCTCTTGCGCGGTGGCCGAATCCTTATCACACAGAAGAATGCGTACTCGGCTTCTATCAAACCCGATCTTTCCCTCGCCCTCCATCCTCTTATCGGCCACCGCTACACGCGAGGATTTCTACCGCATTTGTGCTGAATGCGAAGATTCATCCTCCACAGAGAGAATGCGGTCGAATTGAAGCCCTAAGCTCGATTCACACATACCGATCGTGAGCGCCGTGGGAGGAACCCTACTCTCTTTCTCCTCCGGCCATGGCAAATTAAACTAGAAAGAGAGAGGGAGATATTTTTCTTTACCTCTGGTGAAAACCGTGGTAACTGGCTTTGCGGCTGTTCCATATTGCGCCACGTCACCACACTGTAAAAGAGCAAAGTGAATGCCACCTCGAGGCCAATAGTGATTGTCCACGTGGTGGCGAGGCGATATCTTGTGGGTGGCGCAAACGTGGACGATGAGATCTCCACCGCACTTTCAACCCAGCGGCCTGGATCTCTCGCTCTTAAAGTTTAAAAGGGTCTACGAGAATATTCTAGAATCTCTTTCAGCGCTTGAGAAATTTGGGAGCTCATTTGGCGATGGAGCTCCGGAGCTGCCGATCGAGCGTCAATCCTTCGCTGCCAAGGCCGCAATGGGAGGCGCAAGTGAGGTAACATCAATGTCCGGCATTCTTGCTCGATCGAGCGCTTGCTTGCCTGTATACCCTAAGCAGCGATCGTGTCGATTCCCAGGGATGTATGCAGGGCGCTGGTGAGCGGATGGTCGGATCTGGGAGATGACGATCTTGCGATCTCTGAAATCTCTGGTGGCATCACGAATTTGCGTAAGAAAAAATACGATGAACTTGCTAGCGAGCGAGGTTAAAGTTTGCGTTTCTAGTGCTAAAGGTCTTGGACAAGAAACAGAATGAAGCTGTTACAGTGCGAATTTTTGGTCCCAACACCGACGCTGTCATCGACCGGAAGCGCGAACTCCAGGTGTCAAGCTGAGAGTGTCTCAATCTCCATCCACGTTTTGATCCATGGAGCTAAGTTTGCTGTATGTTGTAGGTGCTGCCACATCTTTCGGAATCAGATTTTGGAGCAAAGCTCGTGGGATTATTTGAGAATGGCATGATACAGTCCTTCATTGAAGCACGGACACTCGTTCCAGTAGGTGTGATTTATATCGAGTACTTCTTTTTTGCCTTGATTGTCACTTTTTCTTCTCCTTCCCAGACTTGTCCAAGCCAAATGTAGCCTCGCTTATTGCAAAGGAGCTGCGAAGGCTACATTCGTTGCAGATACCCGGATCAAAGGAGCCTCAACTTTGGGAGGATATTCTCAAGTTTTATGACAAAGGTATGTCTTCTTCTTTTCTTTCCTTTTTACCTTCATACATTACAACGTTTGGCAGCAAGGCTGGTATCATTTGAGGATAATGCAAAACAGGAGAGGTTAGGGGAAGTGTCATTTTCGCGACTGATGGACGACATAAAAATGCTGAAGGTGGAGTTCCTATCGTGATTGACACATCCTAAGTTTGTATTACATGATGCAGGGCATCAGCGACTCCTTGAAAGCGCCGATCGTATTTTCTCACAACGATCTTTTATCAGGCAATATCATGCTCAATGAAGCTAGCGGTACATATATCTCTTCACATTTCGGAAGCCTTTCTAACTCGGTACTTTCAGGCCGGCTCCATCTCATTGATTTTGAGTATGGTTCTTACAGCTACCGAGGCTATGATATTGGAAATCACTTCAACGAGTATGCCGGCTTTGAATGCGACTATTCCTTGTAAGCCATCTTACTCTCTCATGTTTAAACTCAAAAGTTTGCCAGGTACCCGAACAAGGAGGCACAGTACCACTTCTTCAGGCACTACTTGTCTCCTATAGATCCATCGAAGGTGCGTGTGTACTACAGTTTGCTGGACAACAATGTTGTTTCTCTGTAGGTCTCCGACGACGAACTTGAAGTTTTGTTTGTAGAGACGAATTTCTATGCGCTCGTTTCTCATTTGTATTGGGCGATATGGGCCATCGTCCAGGTAAAAACAAAGTTGAGCAGTAAATGGCATGTGACATCTGTATTTGCAGGCAAAGTTCTCACCAATCAACTTCGACTACCTTGGATATCATTGCCTGAGGTACAAAGAGTACGAGAGACGCAAGAAAGAACTCGCCGTGTTCTCGATCGTCAACATCTGCAAGCAATAAGTAGTCACTAGGTACAAGTAGGCCTTGCTAATTGTCATACTTTCTTCCTCTTGCAAGTAAAGGATCTTAGGCTGTCCCATTTGCGTTCATTGGATTGAAAACGCCGTCTTGCAGAAGAGAGAATGGCCCTGACGAGGATTGGAGGTCCAGCAACAGCAGCAATGCCATCGCTACCACAAGTTCGAGCAGTGTCCAATGAATTGTGCTCGTGGAAGTATTTGGTGGGTAAGAGGGCAATCATTACGAGCAGCAAGAGCTGGCTACTAGAAGTTCGCCGTGGAGGATTGCGTTCTTCTCGACGGCTCCGCTCTACTGGAGAGAATTCTGATTCTTCGACCCCAAGTAGCCAGGTTTGTTCCAAGTCTTAATTTTTTGGTTTTTTGGTTTTAATCCCAGTTTCCTCTTTTGTAGAATGGTGAAGCTCAACCAAGCGCTCCTCCATCAAAACCTCCTCCAAGTCCTAGTCCACCTCCAGTTCCAAGTAAGACTGGAAATCGTATCGTAGCTCTTGTTTCTGCTGCTGCTGCAGTGTGCTTATTTTTGGCCAACAGAGGCGCTGGGGTCGGCCCAAACTTGAGCGAGCTCTCAGCAAAAGCGATGCCATACGAAGAGGTATCCATCTCGTTGACTCATCAAGATTCGTCTCGTTACAGGCCTAAGTTTTCTTCTTCACCTGCAGGCGATTCACAATGGCAAGCCTACTGTCGTCGAGTTCTACGCAGACTGGTGTGAGGTGTGCCGTGAGATGGCTCGCGATGTCTACTCGGTGGAAGAGAAGTACAGGTAATTCTTGCGTGACAACTCTGGCTTTTGCTGATATGTTTATGCGGAATGGAGCAGAGACCGCGTGAACTTTGTGATGCTGAATGTGGACAACAGTAAATGGGAGGCAGAGCTAGACGAATTTGGCGTGGAAGGCATCCCACACTTCGCATTCTTGGATGGGAAGGGCAATGAGGAAGGCAACATAGTGGGCAGGCTACCAAAGAAGTATTTTGCTGAAAATGTGGATGCACTTGCAAAGGGACAGGAGACGATTCCACACTCCAAGGCTGTAGGCCAGTTCTCTGATGCCGAGCTGCGTCAGTCTCCACGGATGGCTTCACCTCGGACACATGGATGACAAGGCCCAAGGAATGGCTAGTATATTTTAGTATATGTTTGTTACTCATGCTTTGATTGGTGCTTCATCTTTGTGAACATTGATTATTAGTTATTTTTTTGAGAACCTCATGTATAAATTAAGTTCCTTGACTTAGAAGTGTATTATAAAACAGTAATAGATATAAATAGTAATGGGATTATGGCAATTAATATGTGATTACACTAGGGAGCATTATGTATTTATACATGGGTTGTGGTAATTAATCTAAAAACTGTAGCTTATATATAAAAGCAAGATTAAAACCAATTTAATAGCTATCAAAATCCTATACTTGATCATCCCTTCTTCTCAGAAGAATGGAAAACAGTCAAAGTTCTCTAATGAACAAGCCAAGATTTGAAGGAACATTAAGTAGTAATGGATCTATAGATGGTGTTAATTGTTCTTAATTCCTTTATATAAAGTGTTTAAACTACTATATATCCATAATTTTTGGAGGATCAGCCTATTGGATGTCATATCAAACTTTATAAACTTGCAACATTTAATATAGTTTTGTGAGACACAAAATCCCTAGGCCCCAAAGTGGAGCCGAAAGGCTGCCACGTGGTAGTGGCTGACGTGAAAATCAAACGAGCATAACACATTTGGATTAAAAGTTCTGACTTGAAAGGTCGAGAGCGGAAGTGAAACTCTCAACGACGTGCTCAAGGAACAAGCACGGAGCAAGTAATAAGTGAGTCTCTAAAAAAAAAGGGACACAAGAGGACCCGAGATGGAGTCTAAGATGGAGTCCGAGAAAGACTCGAGTTAGAGTCTGAGATGGACCCAAGTTGGAGTCCGAGATGGAGTCCGATATGGACCGAGATGGAGTCCGAGATGGATCCGAGATGGACCCCAGTTGGAGTCCAAGATGGACCTAAGTTGGAGTCCGAGATGGAGTCCGAGATGGAGTCCGATATGGACCGAGATGGAGTCCGAGATGGACTTGAGATGGAGTCCAAGATGGACCCGAGATGGAGTCCGAGATGGAGTCTGAGAAGGACCCGAGATGGAGTCCGAAGTCGAGACTGAGACCAAGACTGAGACCGAGACCGGGACCGAGACCGAGACCGAGACTGAGACCGAGACCGAGACCGAGGCCGAGCCCAAGCCCGAGTCCAAGTTCGAGTCCAAGCCCGAGTCCGAGTTCGAGTCTGAGAGGATGAAAGCCCAAAGTGTTCGTCTCCCAGACCCTGGGGGGTTTGGTGAGCTCTAAAAGTATAGTAATGGGGAGGACTATAGTGAAGCCAGTTTGGCCAGGAAAGGCCAGTTTGGCCAGGAAAGGCGAGTTTGGCCAGGAAAGGCTAGTTTGGCCAGGAAAGGCTAGTTTGGCCCAGGAAGGCTGTACCCAGTGTTGGGTGATGAGCTGCCCACTGGGAAGTCCAAGACTAGAGTGAACACAAACAAACAAGTGGGGTAGCTTGGTGAAGTGTTCAAGAGCCAGCTCTAGTTCCCCTAAGAGATCAACTGGCCGATGCTCTCAATCCAAGTGTGGGTGGCATTACCTACTTGGATACCAGGTGTGGCTCAATAGAACCTCGCTCTAAGCCCATGGCTAGAACACCCAAAGGTGGAAGGCATGGAGAGTATCTAGGAGGCCTGCGTAGGGCCATGGTGTTCCAAAATGTTGTCCCAAAGTCTCAGACTGTGGAAAGGAAGAGGAGTAGGCCTCTGGTGTAGTGACCAAGGACATAGTCACACGGCAAGGAAGTTCTAGAGGGCCATGGGACTTAGTGGTCAGGCCTATGGGCCTTGATTCAGTGGCAGTGTTGGCAAACACGGCCATGGACAGAAAGGGACTTGGTAAGGACCGGAAAGGAGGTATTAGGGAAGGCTATCCCCATGTCTGCGGGCATCCTAAGGATGCTAAGGAGTGGATCTGAGATGACCACTCATGGATGGAAGACCCAATCTTGGAGAGACAGGGTTGCAATGCAGGTGGCTTTGGACCACCGATGTAACCAAGGTAAATGGGCATGGCCTAGCGTAACGGGCTGGTATGTTGGTGGTACCTTGGGTCCCGGTCATGGGATCGGACACGTGGAGCACTTGGACCAAATGCAAAGGTTGAGTGGCAGGGATGCCATTATCGGGGCTAGCAAGCCCAAGTCCGAAATAGCACTTATGGAGGTTGTGAGTGAGACTCTTCCAAGTGGTCAAAGGTGTGGTTAAGTGACTAAAGTAGAAAGGAAAAATTAGTCGCTTAAAGCTCTATTTCGTTAAAGTGGGATTTATTCAGTAAAATGGGACTAGGTACAAATTTTCAAGTATTTGAAAATGACGTGAAATTATATGTTTTTTGTCCAGGGGCTAGACATATCTGGGGCATGGTGACTAGCGCGGTGACTTTGTGTCCAGACTGAGTCCATCTGGTTGTATAAAAAATCTCATTGTCAAGGTGAACAAGCCGAATCTGAAGCTAAAGAAGAGCGATGGCATGCGTGCACACACTATTTGTTTGTTCATTGAGCGTGTGGTGAGCTTTCCAAGATGAACGTCATTCCTATTAGCCAGACATATAACTTAATGGTGAGAACATTTAGATATTATTCAATGTTATCTTTTTCTAACGAATCTAATTGTGAAGGTGTAGCAAGAGGCATTGCTAGTCTGGAGAAGTCATTTAACTCATTTGACCCTTAGTGTATTTTCATGAAACTAAATAACATTCATATTATTAAGGAATTTCTCTAGTACCTTTTTTTTACGACATAGAGGCTTGCATTTCTTTCAAAGGTGATTTAGTAAAAGGCCTGAGGGCACATGCCATTCTATTTCTCAGACCGGTATTAAGATATACTAGTGCAAAGGGCCACATGCCATCACGCCTCCTCTGATTCAGATTCGGATTGTTCACCTTGAAATAAAATACATTAGAAACTTAGTAAAGGAATATTAATGAATCTCACCTTGAACCCGGGTTATGAATGCTCTTGCTGCATCTCTTGCATGGTCTGGCAAGGTGATGGTGGCACTCTGCTTCCGCATCCAACCATGCACAACATTATCCACCGATATGCTCATGCTGGGATCCCTTGGATTCAGCACCCATCTCTTTTCTAGGCAAGCTCGTTAGATGGTCAAACTCATAGAGTTTAGAGGGTTTCCTATTGAGTATTGTTTGGGAAAATTGAATGTGGTGGCAGATACTTTATCTCATGTTTATCATATGACGACATTACAAACATAGTTTTGTCGTCATTTGATCAAGGTGGTCAATGAGTTTGAGCAATTGGTTGCACGTGCTCTGAATCCGGCTTCTTGTTCCTCGGCCCACAATAGTGATCCTCAACATCGTTATCTGTCACTGCATTTCCAGAGGACATTGTTCCGCTACTATCTGGTGCTCTGGGTTCTGGCCAAAAGGACTCTTCCAATTCTTCATATACAACCGGCCCATTTTGGATAGCAGATATAATCTTCTCCCAGTATTCGAGCAAAGGCTTGCACCTCTTAAAATAGGATTCTCCACCAAACACCAACCCCCTCTTCCAGAAGGCAATATGCTGTCTAATCCCGGCCACTATACTTTCCTGGTCTTTGAGTCCATCCGGGTGCATCGGCCGTGGGGAACCCTGAGGAATCATAGGTTCCCCAATTATGGGATCTCTCTTGAAGAGTTCAATGCCATCCACTGGCAGCCACACTGTGTCCCATTCTCTCATCTTGTACCTCATCACTGGAGCACCGTCACGCATGCTGAAATGAAACTGAAGAGGCTTGGAGTGGCCAATCAGCATTTCGGATCCGTCCCTGATGTAGCCTCTTACAAACCCCTTAATGTCTGGAACCTCTGTCACAAGTGCAGCTTCAACAGTGCCTTTGATGCAATTTTGGAATTCATCGTAGAGTTGTGGGAGGGTGAGGACATTGGATCGCCGGAGGGACTCTGCCAGGTGACTGAACATGGCATCGACGTCTTCATGAGTGTGCCCAACCATGAGAAAGCCAAGTGTAACCGTTTCAAATATGCCTTTGGCAACAAGCATCGCCAAGTACGCGAAGACGTACATGTTTTTGTTCTCACTGCCAGCATTGTCTGTTTGGAGCAGAAGATGGGGTGGAAGGCCACATCGG